CGTTAAGTGTCACAATACACAATAATAATTGAAATGCAAAAAAAGCGTAAGTTTGCTTAGGTCACGCACTTTGCGACTATCCTGGTCTAGAAATATAGTTAAGGGCAGAAATTGGCCCTTGGAACAAACTGAAAAAATCATTATGGCCCGAAGGCTTCAAAGTCTGGAGACCCCTGTTCTAGACCATAATGGACACAAAATAATGATGGGCTATACAGGCGACCTTATTGTACTAGTACAGGGTAACTATAATAATATAGTGACGGGACGCATGTAGCATGCCCCGAATATTTTAACTAGATAGACCGGAAAAAAAAGGCTGGACATAAGTCCTACGAAATCGACCAGGAAAGCATTTACAAAGAAGACCAAAATAGAGAATCTAGGACTCTTAGGGGTAAAGAAATGCAAATGTCGCAGGAGGTCGAATATCTGTGAGTAATACTAGAGTAAAGCTGGTAAGCAGAGGTGGGTATGATTTTTTGGCTCTACATCATGGTGGTTGAGCCCATAATAACATATGTAACTATGGTCCGGAGACCAAAGAAGCTAAACGACCGCTATTAACAAACTAAACAGGGTGCAGAACTTGCATGTTTGGGGATGAAAGGAGCAATGAAAACCACACCAACAGTTGTATTGAAGTCACTCTTGAATCTTCCTCTTTTTCTATAACGATGGAAGAAGCCAGGGTGTACCAATTTCAGACTGGACAACATAACACCAAAATACACATTTGACGCAAACTTCGCAGTTAAGGTCTTAAACATCGAGAAGAGGTGAATGGACAGGCATCCCAAGAAAATGCTTGGTAAAAATCTCCTGATTTACAGACGAATCCAAAACCTGAGTTGGGACTTTAGATGGAACTAACAGTCAGTTTATAACAGTCTTGGATAGATAGATATCACTTTATTTCCAGCAGATTTCCACCCAATTACAGGAACTGTTAAAGGACATATGCTGAAAAAATTATATTATTGAAAAATATATCCATTCATTCCTTCAAATTGAAAAAATGTCTTCTTTCAGGTGGGTTCTCACTAAGCATTATGTTATTTGTAATCCATAATTTGTTATTATGCTATGTCGAAACTTTAATTAGTAAGTAAGTAAGTAATTTATTCAATTTCATGTCAATCAATTATTCAGTTACATGATTTGTTTTCCGTGCGATTTACAATTCAATTCAATTACGATTTACAATTCAAATGTCTTATCATATAATTATCATATTATAATTGAAATTAACTGTAGTCTTCTATAGCATGTGAATTTGCTTGTTTGCTTGCAAAAGGTTAAGATGTCACACCCTGTAGTAATTTAGTTCAGTTGCTTGAGTGGAAGAAAGCATTTGTCTCACCCCTCTTCATGTGCGAACCGCTGCTGAACTCTGCCTTTTGTTTTTTTTAGGACAAAATACAAGCACTAGAAGAAAATCTCCAAAGCGATCTAAGAGCAGTGCATGAAGAGACGTGAAAGTTGCTATTGTGTTTTTATTCAACTCAGTCAACCAATTTCCAGGGCCGTAATTTAAAAGGAAATAATTCACACAATTATAATCAAATATTACCGAAACATCTCGAAATCTAAAATTGAATTTGATTTTTCAGTATGAAGTTAACGTCGACGATACAAAAACTATAACAAAAAATAGAGGTCATTATTTAGAAATTCAAAGATGGGGATGGCCCAAGTCAGATGACACTCTATATAACATATTCATGAACATATTCTGATAGCCCACATCAAGTGCCATAGCAAAATGTGGACAGATTTTCAATATATCTGCGTATAAAGAAGATATAGGCAAAAACATAATTTGAGATTTTTTGGTTTTTTCTGTATACCTCCAGAACCAAAAGAGCTCTAAAATACGCAACTTTGCCACAATTTAACTGACACTGTATCTTTTATCGTTTACGAGATCCCCATGTACAGAAACGAATTTGAATAGCCCTGTATAAAAACGCAATAGACAGTACTGAATCTTATGATGCCCTGTTTGGAACCTTTGATGTAGTAATGAATATTTGAAGGATTTGGTGTTTCCCCAACACCAAATCCTTCAAGAGGAAGATTAAGTTTAATCTACCTCTTGAAGATGATCACTTGGTGATCGAAACACGTGTCGAGGTGTTTAAAATAGCGATTTGGTGTTGGGAAAAAAGTCCAGTGATATTCAGTACTGAATCTGTTCAAAGTGAATGTCTCAAACATATATTCCTTAATTGTTATGGCTATTACCCTTTTAGTACTCACTTGGGATTGGTCATCACCTCGTTTATGGCAGATAAAAGTACTTCTTTCGAGATTTTCTTTTTATCCAGCTTTATTCCATACCCCCATTTAACCACTTTATTTATATTCGTTATCTGATCTCCAAAGAATGGAATACCAATTAGAGGTATATCATTTGTCACTGCTTCTTGGAGAGATTGTAGTCCTCCTTGGGTTATAAACAATTTTATATTGGGATGCCCTGAAAATCATTGTTGTTGATTAGTGCATACGACTGTTCAAATGTTGAAATTGAAACTAGGGAAAGTTTAAACTAATAACACCTAATACCAGTACCGTTCGCAATGAAATTTCTGATTTTTGCAAATATTCTAGGAATAAATAAACCGGTACTATAATCGGACAACATAGGCTTTCACGAATGTAGCCACGGTTGAAAAGAACACAAAATTCGGTCTGTTAGGCCGGATGGAACCTGAAGTACCAAACGTTTCTCCTGCTATTGCGGTAAACATCATCAGTGATATGTGCGTTGACTTCTAGATATAACCTCAACCAACCTAACCTGTTAGTCAGTCATTATTGGGACTTCGAGATAAAATCGTTGTCCTCGCAGTCAACGTATTGGGTTGGCTGAAAAGTTCGTGGGCCAACACACAGATGGCGCGACTAGTATTAAATCCATATGTTTTTTAGTTAACCCTAACCTTCAAAAGACTCAAACAAATTTCACAGCTGTCGGACTGTTAGTTTGTGGGACTATAAAGTCTTGACTTACTGAGAATATCTTGTTGTGGCATCCAATTTTGGACTAAGACATTGCTGGATATGCCTTCCAGCTCACCATCTATCTTCATAAGAACTTTGTACGGTATTTCAGCGAAGGCTCCTACGATGGCTTTTTTGAATTCGTTTGACATGGTTTTGGATTTCACGTTACTCCCCAAACTGAAATAGATGACTCCATTATCAGCTCCATCCAAAAATTGCTTCAGTCCCTTGAAATATAACAAATTATAGACAAAGTTCCATTCCTCAAGTGATATTTATACTATTTGTACTTTGATGGTTATATGCTTCAACCAAAGTGAGTTGAACACATGTCAAACGTGTGTCTTGGCCGTGGTCTGCAAGTTTTTATGTCTGATAGGTTCACCAATTCATGAGCTGGCTATATACTTGATGAATAAAATGAGAAATTCAAGGGACTCTAGCCTTTTTGGATGTTCCTGTGACCAGACGTGAAGATGGTACATTGGGTCACAAAGTGTACAGGAAACCAACAAACACAGACATGTACTTGAACAATAACTCCAGTCACAACAAAAGACAAGGGTGAGTAAAACATTTGTGGAGAGAGCACGACGTATTTTGAACCTGAATCTCGAATCACCTGAAAAATGTTTTCGAAGGGAATTAATACAGCGATGGAGAATTCGAGGGGGGCATACGACCCAGGAGAAAGAACCCCAGCTAGGCTGGTCAAGGGAAAAGCTTTTCTTTCCTATGTTGAAAATGTAACAGACTGGAAACGCGAAACAAACTATTCAGACCAACAAAAACTATTTGAGAAATATCAAGGTCCACCAAGGACTCCAGAAAACCTTTAGCAACACCCAGTGTATACTGAATTCCTTGTAGCTGTGGGTCGGTCTACATTGGAACCACAAAAAAAAGTATAGTTACCCGGAGACTGCAGTTGCTGTGTTTCTCAATATTGAAAGAGCATTTGACAATGCACTATCTAAATCTATAGGATCATCTCTGGCTAGGAAAGGTAGAGAATCGATCATAACTGCTGGTAAACAGAACTGCAACTAAGACTCTTCATGGCGAAGCCATTAGGTTCAGGGTCACTGGAGACTGCAACAAGGTGGGATACTATCTCCTCTTCTGTGGTTGCTCCCGATGGATAGCCTCCTTGATGCTCTTGACAGAGAGATCTGCAAGATTATGTAGATGACCCTGTCATCTTGGTAAGGTCTACGTTGGGAAGGGTAGCTTGTAATATCCTCCAAAGTACGATGGACGTTGTTCACAGTTGGTGCTTGAAGGAGTAGATGTCTGTCAACCCCAGTAAAACTGTGATAATCCCCTTCACCAGAAGGAGACAAATGGATGATCTAACGCCACTTTTTCTCAATGGTGAGGTCATTCCATCTGGAACGGAGGTGAAATATCTTGGCATTGTCCTTGATAAAAAACTCACCTGGAACGCTCACTTGGAAAAAGTTTTACACAAAGCCAGACTGTCCCTATGGACATGTCAAAGGATTTGTTTGGGGCCAGATCAATGATCACTTATAGTGCAATTGCCTAGTGGCCGAAGGCTCTACAGAAAACGGCTCAGGCGAAGCTCTCTAACTTACAGAGACAGGTGTGTCTGCCATCAGTTGTGTCATCAGTACCACACCATCAGCGGCCATGGAAATCCTTCTAGATGTACCTGCTCTCCACATTTTTCTGGAGAGAGAGACTTGATGGACTGCATATAGACTTGTGTACATTGCCAATTGCACAAATCAATTTAATGCAGAGTGCAGCGGACTGTTGATTGACACTGAAAGTCACAGCATTCTGGAAATTACCTTTGACTTTATGCCTCCTACTGTCAACTACGAACTGCCTTATAAAGTACCGTTCCCGAGTAGAGGGGACTGGAATGAAATATTAAGAGCAGATGTTTGTTGGTTCACATATGGATCAAAACACCTTCCGGTTCTGGTGCAGATGTTTTCAGTCACAGACCCAGAACAGAGATCTCAACCTGCCTAGGAACCTATGCGATTGTATTTCAAGCGGAAATTCACGCTATTGGATTGTGTGAGGAAAGATTGAAAGAATCCAACCTCATACACAAGTCAATAAAAATATTCTTGGACAGTCAAGCGGTGTCGGAAGCGCTGGGCTCCTATCTGGCAACGTCTAAATTGGTAGCAAATTGCCAAAAACGACTCTTCTCGATATAAAGACTTAACAGATTATCTATGGTCTGGATTCCTGGTCATACTGGCCTGAAAGGCAATGAGGTTGCTGACTCCCTTGCAAAGGAGCTGCAAGCAGCTTCATCGGACCAGAACCTGTCATTGGCATCGCTTTAGGCTTTGCCAAATAAAGATTGAACACCTGGATGGCAAGAAGATTCAAGGACTTCTGGCAGAATATTCCAGGATTGGCTCACTCCTAGGCGTTTATTCACCCTTCGAAGCTTGATACCAAACAGTTGGACTACAGTAGGGATGAAATACGATGTCTAACAGGCCTTCTTACAGGTTACTGTCATTACGATAAGAAGCTGGGTTGATTTGGTCGAGAAATTATCTACTCGGACAAACCGACAAAATAGCAAGGTCAGGTAATGTAATTCAATTAAGAGAAACCAAGCCACGTCCACTCGAACATTAGCTCGGGCACTGCAACCGTTACTCCATCGCCTTCGATAATGTAGTAGTAAACACAGTAGTAGACGAAACTTCAAACATAAAAACCTGCAGATCACTGCCAGAAAACCTGGCAAATAGCTTCACACGGTTATCTCTGTCCGTGAAAGTTAAAATAATAAACACAATTATGTAATACAATAACAGATTTTATAAGGACGAAATTCAAGCTACAGGAAAAGCTTCAAGGGCCGTAGCGAGAAGAAAAACCAGGAGGGGGAGGGAATTCAAATTTTCAGAAATCCCAACCTTCTCCTGGTTCTTTCCCTTTTCTTATTACCTCTCCCTTTCTTATCTCTCATTATTTCAAAAAATTTTATTCATTTTTTTACTACTATTTTTTCCTATCATCATCTACTAAAATTCCCCAACTTTTTCCCAACTGTCCCCCATCCCTCCCATTGCGACGGCCTGGCTGGAGATTAAATCCATATGGAAAAACGCCACTGTATGGCAAAACAAGTGTTGCGTTTCTGTAAAACTGTTGTGAATCTCACAATAAAGTGTTTTTTGAATACGTTATGGATTTTCATCAGGTATCGACCAATTCCATTATATACGTTTGAGGTTCCAATTCTACCTATTCAGTTAACATTCAGATGCTATTTTACCTAACTGAATTTTTTCTTCAAGAATGAATCTTAATACTGAAAAGATCATTTATGTAAAGTACAAAGAGCACTGGGCCTAGAACAGTACCTTGCGGTACGCCATAATGAACAGGGCACTCCGTACTCAGACTGCCATTGAGTGATACCTGCTGTTTTCTGTCACTCAGATAATTTCCCATTAGTTTTCTGGCTACTCCACGGAAACCCAAATCATCTAAAATGTCTAATAGTTGTGAGTGGGGAACCGTATCAAATGCTTTAGCAAGATTTAAAAATACACAAGCAGATTTTTTTCCCATTATCTATACTCTTTAATATCTTTGAGGTTAAATACGCAATAGCATCTTGGGTTGATTTATTTTGTTGGAAACCGTATTGGCGGGTACTTATCAGATCGATTTCCATAGTAAAAGATGTAATTCTCTTTTTTAATGCTTTTTCAAAGAGTTTCGCAACATTATATATTACAGATATTGGTCTATAATTTTTGGTCAATTTTTTTTGAGCCCGATTTATGAATTGGTTTGATTATTGCTTTCGAATATGAAGATCATATTGATTATGTATGAAATAGGTCCAGAGAAATCATTTTTTATTTCTTTCAGAATGAAAGTGATAAGTATTTAAGACGATACAGGACCTTGTATTGAACCCTGAGGTACACCGTGTTCGACTTTAACACACACACTGAGATGTATTATTGTTGAAGATAGGGCGTTGAGGACTTTGGAGGATATTGGACGGATACACCAGAAAGGTTGCTTTATACGCAAAAGTATACCTATCAAACCGGCAAATCGACAAATTCAGCATTAAACAACCTTGTAGAGAAAATTAACCAATCCCTTGACAACAAGAAGATTGCGGTTGCTGTAGAATAGAATAGAATATCCTTTATTCGCCATAAAAAATGTAATGGTATTATAAGGTTTTGTCAAATATCATACACCATAAGAATACCATAAAAACACTAAATGAATAAATAAAAAATAAGGAAATGAGATGTGAACAATTTCGATATAAAAATCACTGTCTACGTAGATTGTAAATTGTGTGAAATGTTGAAGTCAAGTGATAAGAATTCATCGATACTATAAAAAGCGTTTTCCAGGCAGATATTCTTCATATAAGCGAGGCTGTATTTAAGTTTTTTATATCTTCTGGTAGTTTATTAAATAAAATAGAACCATAATAATTTTTCGACAAACGGCAGTGATTTAGTCTTGTGAATTCAATTTCAATCTGTTGTGATTGTCTGGTATGAAGATTTGCTGAAACGAGAAAAGCTGAAGATCAGTTGGTTGCACCAAAAGATGCAACCTCTGTTTTTCATCTTAGGCCATTTATTAGTACTCAATTTTGATTTATTATTTGTCAGCCATCTATTAGCATTCGAGTCTGCTACTTTCATTTGTATTTTGGAGCGTTAATGATGTGTCGTCAGCAAATTGCGTAATCTCAGAGTCATCTTCAGTCTTGAAATCAATTACATAAATCAAGTATAGAATTGGTTCCAAAACCGAACCTTGGTAGTCTCCGTTTTTTACTTCTTTGGTATCAGATGCCTCATTATTCAAAGAAATGTATTGTCTATGTTCCGATAGATATGATCTAACAAGGTAAATTGAGTTTCCCTCAAATTTGTATTCCTGTATTTCTCGATATTGAAGGAACATTTGACAATGCACTACCTAAATCTATAGGATCAGTCCTGGCTGGAAAAGGTACAGAATCGACCATAACTGGACGGACTTATGCCATGCTGGTAAACAGAACTGCAACTACGACTCTTCAAGATGGAGCCATTAGGTTCAGGGTCACCAGGGACTGCCCTCAAGGTGGGGTACTACCTGCCCTTCTGTGGTAGCTCCTGTTGAAAAGTTTGCTTGATGCCCTTGTTAGAAGAGAAGTAGATTTACAAGCTTATGCAGATGACCTTGTCATCTTGGGAAGGTCCACGTCGGGAACG